TGTATGTTTACATTACCACTGCAGACCGAATATGAGATTGACTGATATCTGATAAAAAAATCTTTCAAAATTCAACATTATAGATAGCTTCTATCACCTTCGCCCACGTTTCCGTGGTTTGAAAAGTGGCCTATGTGTCATTTCACCATAATCTATCCCTGTTCCAGTCGCGGAGAACCTAACGGGTAACCGGGGCTCCGGCTCGACGTGTAGGAGAAGGAACGGGGTGGTTTTTAGTCAGTAAGAGTCTGACACTCCCTTCCGCCTCACCCAGGCGGGAGCAGTCATTCGATGATTTTCCCCCCTTAAAAAAAAATCCCTGTTCCAAATTTCATTCCGATTTCTTCATTTGGTTTGACGTAAAGAAGTAACATATGAACATACAAACTTTCGCATTTATGATAGTTGGATAGCGACCCATTTATCCTCAAGTAGTCACCGGTGACCGTTCCCCATTAACTACATTATAAATTAAGTAAAATCGCGGGTTACTCACGTGACTATACTGAGAAAAGCTCTACAAGTTTCGAACCACAGAGGGTTTCTTCCTCATGAGCAGCGTGCGTGGTCGCGGCGACATCGCTGCGTCAATGAGTGAGCTGTACTTAATTTAGTATGTCTCACGATAGTTATTATAAAAACACAACTGCATTATAGACCTTATTTCCGATGTTTAGAGACTAATTTTATATGAACAAATTTAAGGGCTGATATTTCTACTTTAGTATGAACAAATTCAGGGGATGATATTTCAACGGGTTAAAGTAACCTAAGTAGTTAGAATTCTCGAACCACGTCTAACATTTGAAGCAGTATGTTTCGGACATCAAAACACTCATTCATTCACTCAGTTCACTCACTCACTTAATCTGCGAAGACCAGCTCATTGTTTAAGTCCCACGACCGGGTGTGTAACAAGATACTTGACATTAATTGAAGTCACGCTTACTAAGGGAATATGACCCTTATAGCCTTGGATAAAACACTACACTTAAGATTTATTATCCGTTAATGCGATATGTCTAGGGAAGTTTTATTACGTAGCCTTTAAGCTAGATAGAGCTACGGGTTATGAAAACCATTATACATATAATGTCGTCCTTGTTATGTCTCAAAGGGATTGGACTCATTTCTTCAGTCATGTTATTTGTATACAATACAATCTCATTATTATAGAATGTAGCGTATATAATGTGAATGCTTCCGAAAACGCAGACAAACATATTTTATCCATGCAACATCAGCCTTGTGTAGTAGATTACAACTATTAATTCATGAAAGAACAAAATAAATTGCTTCCTTTTTTTAATATACCTCTAAAACTCCTTTTTACCATCACCTGTCTTGGTTTTTTGGAAGCGTTAAAAATTTCGAAGTCTGGATACTTATTCCAAGTTTATTTTTTTATTTATTTACTGCCGAAGGATCTTTAGTGCGTTTTTTATTAGCGCCATTAAAACTCATCAACTTCAGTACAGTCACTTAGAATGAAAAGCATAACTCACATACAAAAATGCTTAAAGCAACAAATACGTAGCCAAACTTTAAAGAATAGCTAGAATTTTCTCATTTTCTAACTTCGTATACAAAAAACCTACCCTATTCCCTAAAATATAAAGTCGGTTTCACTACGTTAAGCTTATCACGAGTGAGTGAGTACAAAATTACAGGCACTTGAGTCGTTTAGAGATTATCTTTGGAGCACGTATTGGCAAACCATTAGACCGTTTCGCACGCTCTGAGATATAGAGAAGTGTTTGAGTATGTGTGAAACTTTCACTGGTTTAATATAGACTTCATTTTACTTTGGTGCCTATATTTAGTCTAGACACTGTCTTACGTATTAAGTCGAAATGTTTGGTGACGTAGAATGTCTCCTGCCTAAAGGTATGGACATACGTGGTCAATACTAGCATGAAAGCATGCTTTAATTGAGCACTTGCCACTTAGTAGCATGTGTATCGGAATATTGCTCAAAATTAACATGCTCATTTTGTTTGCGAATAAACAGGCGTTCGATTTTTGAACATTTTCACATGCTATTTTCGACCATGTGAAACAATACTTTTAAACCAAGGGTACACTAGATGGAGAAATGTCACATGACATGTATCCGCGACATATCAAACGATGCCGGCTGATTTCACCTGACATATTATATGGCGACAACGCGCGACTATGTCCACTGCCACGTTGATGTTGCCCGACAAGTGAATCAAAGTCCGGCTAAATGTCGTACTAATTTACCCAACGTCACTTGTGACACGTGTCGCAGGATATTTTGTCCCCTAGTGTATCCTTGGTTTTACTCTTGTCGCGGTTACTGTAACGGTCTAGGTACAAAGTGACTACATAATTAGCAAAGACGTAACAAATACTGAATGCTCTCTAATAAAATATTACTTGTTCAACTGCGTTTTCCAACCCATCTAACAACCGTGGAGCATATGGCAAATCTTGTCATAATAATAATAATATAACATAACATAACATCACGCCTTTTATCCCCGAAGGGGTAGGCAGAGGTGCACACAGAAGTAACACCCACTTTTCACTATTTATGTTATGAGTCCCATGTAATAGGGGGTGAGCCTATTGCCATATACCGGGCACAATTCCAGACTCGTACTTAGATTTTTTTTTGAAACCCAGTAATACTTTGCCCGACCGGGTCCGGTCCGGCAGTCGCACTTGCGACCACTCAGCCAACGAGGCACCGAAACAAGAAATTAAAACTAATTATTCTTCCAGGTACATCCTCTCGCTAGCATTGGCAGATCTTCTGGTAATCATCACATGTGTGCCGTTCACCTCCATTGTATACACTGTGGAGTCGTGGCCTTGGGGAGCCACAGTCTGTCGCGTCTCAGAAGCTGCGAAAGATGTCAGCATTGGAGTATCAGTGTTCACACTGACTGCTTTGTCAGCTGACAGATACTTCGCTATTGTTGATCCGTTGAGGAAGCTACATGCCACAGGTCAGTTTTAGTTCATATTTCTAATTTTAAAGACTATGTTTCTCAGTTCTTTGGTTCAAGTAAAATGGTCAAGTAAGTTTGATCAAGCTTCCATGGTGAGAATTGTTATTCAACTGATATTTATAATTTTATGTAATAACCTTTTTATATCCTTTTAAAATCAACATAATAAAAGACAATAGCCATTATAACATTTTATCCAATTACAAGGAATATGAAATAAACTCATTCAATACTCCGAACCGATGAACATAGACGTAAAAATCACACCAAAAAGTTCCAAGAATTACATTTAAATAGAAAAGACTGGAAAAGTTCAAAGCGTAGTTAATAATGTTTATGTAATACAGCTTAAAATAAAAAACCGATTTTATAAGCCACTACACGTCTTTTGTTGGCGCTTCTAGGAACGATGATGTTTTTATAGAGCTACGTTCGTCGGTCCATCCACGAATTTCTTTTACACGTTCCGGTTAGCCGGCAGCGGTTTCGTTAAACCGGAAAATGTAGAAGCTTTTCCTCGTTCCTTTGTCGTATTGACACCGTACAGGGTAATCTGTGCGTGTGAAAACAGACTTACTCTAGTAGTGGATCGCAAAATTGTGAAATTCTATTTTGTAAAACAGAAAATATATGTTAGGATATTTTACAAAATGGAATTTCTCAATACGATACGGAATATGTTGTGGGAAAGTTTCTTTTATAACAGGTGCAATTGTAATTTTTAGCATTTTTCATAATTACAGACTCTTTCTATTTTCTATAGCATTCATTTTCTATATCATTATTGTATACTATAATCATTCTATATAGGTATTTTTAACAAAAGAAAAAGAAATATCCATATCTGCAATAATGTATACTTTTGTCATGTGTATCAAACACCTTAATGCTCTATATGAGCCTGAATTTAAAATATTATCAACTATTCTAAAAAAATACATTATTAAATACATTTCTAGAGCAATGCCTGCATTAGTATAATAACATCCATAGTTCCCAATTTACCAGTCCACAGCAACCCATCCATAGCCCTACCTTTTTTCACAATAGTCCAACACTAACCGGGGGCTGTCCTTGGGTGCATTTCCATAGTGCATACAGGGATAGTCGCCGGTTTGTGTCTCCATTACATTTAGATTAAAGTTGTCTAAAGGGCCTCTGCGCAGTTGGCTTCGGCCCCTCGTACGCCTCCCAAATGACCGGGACCCTGTGGTCCCGTGAATGGTAAAGACATACAATAATAATAATAATAATAAGAGCCAGATGCAGACAAGACGCACCCCCACCACCTCCGGACTCGTCGCTCAGCTCCGCCTCGCCATCACCGGAACCCCGCTCCGCTGGATCGCCGGTGACTGCAGTTGCGTCGAGCTCGAGCGACGACTATTTCTCCCCACCTACGTCGCCACCACCTGTACGTCGGCCGGGGAGAGGCCGGCCACCGACTGGCTTGGGAACCAGGGGCCATCAGGCCCTGGGACGGGTCCCCGCTACCGGTGGTTGTGTGCGGCGCATGAAATGGTCTCAAACCATAAATGAGAACGTCATGCGCGCATACTACGGTGCTACAGAGGGAGGAACTAACCTCACGGCGTACCGCGAAAGGATGCTGTCTATGTTTCAGGTGCTTGAACCATCTGTCAACGTCTCGGCCCAACGACTGTCGGATCAAGTGCGGGTTATCCAACGCAATTGCAGATTGGATGAGGCTACACTTGATCGGCTACGCCTTGAAGCACTGCGCAACCGTGTCGTCCCCGCACCACCACAATTGGTGGCACAGACACCTGTAGTGTCACAATGTGTGACATCGACCACCCCTATCGTTGGAGTGGAGGACGATAGGGTTGAACAAGTGAGTACTCAGTGCAATGAACGTCTAAGGAGTGCTTTGGAGGATGCGGTTCGTGAGTACAGACTTGCTCCTAGTGATTTACGACCAAAATTACCACGTTTGCCCATGTGTAGGAAAAATAGGGCGCTGGTGAGCGCCTTGGATTCGCTACTTAAAAAATATTTTGAGAGTAGCGAAAACCTCTATGATACACACTCGATCTTGTACTGTGGGGCGGTTGCTGCTTGTCGAGTGGCTAACGTAAGATTCCCAAATCTTGACGCAGCAGTCCGACCAAAACCAGCAGTACCTGCCTGGCAGTATAGGATAGAGCGTCGTATCAGTGAGGCCAGGGTACTCATTGGCAAACTATCCTGCTTCAGGGAGGGCAATACTCGTCCTAGAGTGATGCGCTTTGTAAGACGTGCATTTGTGGGGACTGAAACCAGTCCTCATGAATACCTGTCACGTGTTACAGAGCGCATCGACTTCCTGAAGCAGAAAGTTTATGCATGGGCAAACCGTATTAGACGTTACAAAAAGAGAGTGGAGCGCTATACTCAGAATCGCATGTTCCAAAGAGATCAGAGGTGGGTATACAGAGATTGGGAACGATCCAACCAAGATGTGGCTGACGGGCGGCGACCGGATGATGATGCCACTAACACATTTTGGCGCAACATCTGGTCGGTGCCTGTTAGCCACACAGAAGGTGACTGGATGTTTGATGTTAAGCGAAGGTGTGAGACTATACCAGAGATGGAGGAGGTAGAAATCACCTCCTCTGATGTAGCCAGTGCAGCCTGTTCGGTCCCGAATTGGAAATCACCGGGGCCGGACGGACTGCACAATTTCTGGATTAAATGGTTCAAGAGTTCACACGTTCGCTTAGCATTACACTTCCAGGCAGCTTTGGAAACTGGGTCGTTACCACAATTTCTAACAACAGGAGTTACCCACCTGCTCCATAAATCAGGTAGTTCCACTGAGCCAAAAAATTATAGACCAATTACATGTTTACCAACGGTCTATAAACTTCTTACATCCATTTTGAGGACAAAAATAACAAAACATATTGAACAAAATTCCATCATGTCTGTATCTCAAAATGGATGTAGGGAGGGGTCTCGTGGAACTAAGGAGCTACTCCTTATTGATATGGTTGTAAGCCAACAGGTTCGTCGGTCCCGAAAAGATTTGTCTACATGCTGGATAGACTATAAAAAAGCATATGATTCTGTGCCACATACATGGCTCCTGAAGGTGCTGGAGTTGTATAAAATACATGCAAGTTTACGCGCCTTCTTGGAGTCATGTATGAGGCAGTGGAGCACTGTGCTTTGCTATCCGGGATGTAGACAAATCCAAGGGAATGAAGAACCTGTAAGGATAGTACGAGGAATATTCCAGGGTGACAGCCTGAGTCCACTATGGTTCTGCTTGGCCTTGAATCCTCTAAGTACTCTACTGGAGGATTCAGGGCTAGGCTATCCTTTGCGGAGGAGGGGTCTAGTTATATCCCACTTACTTTACATGGATGACCTCAAGTTGTTTGCTCCAAACAAGAAACAATTGATGGAACTACTGAATATAACTGAAAAATTTAGTAGTTCCATCAGAATGGAGTTTGGAGTAGACAAGTGTGCGGTCATGCATGTAAAGCGAGGAGGGATTGTGGAATCTGAGGGTCTAGAACTCTCAGATTTCACAAAGCTGAGATCACTCTCCGCAAATGATACATATAAGTACCTGGGTATGTCAGAAGGATTAGGCATTAATGGACTGGACATGAAACAATCGTTGCAGGAGCGCTTCTTTGGTCGCCTGAATAAGGTACTGAAAAGTTCCTTATCAGGCGGAAACAAGGTGCGAGCCTTTAACGGTTGGGTCATGCCAGTCCTAATGTATTCTTTTGGTATACTCAAGTGGACACAGACTGAACTTGACACCCTGGATAGACGAGTCCGGACCCTGCTGACTGCAAATCGCATGCATCACCCTCGTTCGTCGGTCATGAGGTTGTACATCCCGCGGAAGTGTGGTGGTCGAGGCTTATTAAATGCTAAGACCCTTCACAACCGTGAGGTGTGCAGCCTCAGGGAATATTTCCTGAAAGTCAACGAGGGTATGCATCGAGAAGTAGCAGCGGTGGACAATGGATTCACTCCGCTATCCTTGGCAAAAGAGAACTGGCGCAAACCTGTGGTACTGAGCGTCAATGATCGCAAGGAGGTATGGCATAGCAAGGAGCTCCACGGACGCTTCTTCCGGGCCCTTCATGGGCCCAGTGTAGATTTTCTAGCGTCCGTGTCTTGGCTACGATTCAGTAATCTCTTTGGAGAAACTGAAGGATTTGTCTGTGCAATTATGGACGAAGTTATCCTTACGAATAACTACCGGAAATATATAATTAAGGATGGGACGGTTGACATATGTCGGGCATGTCATAGTCCTGGTGAATCCATTAGACATATTATTTCTGGTTGTGGTCGTTTGGCTAACAGTGAATATTTGCATAGGCATAATCAAGTAGCCAAGATTATCCATCAGCAACTTGCTTTGCACTATCGACTTGTTGAGTCTGAGGTACCGTACTACAAGTATGTGCCCGACCCAGTTCTGGAAAATGACCATATCACGTTGTACTGGGACCGGTCTATCATCACTGACAGGACTATTATAGCCAACAAACCTGATATAGTGGTGATAGACCGACAAGTGCGCCGCACGATGATAATCGATATCACTATTCCTCATGATGAGAACCTCGTGAAAGCTGAAAAAGATAAACAAATCAAATATCTTGATTTGGCTCACGAGGTTGTCGACATGTGGAATGTAGATTCGGCTATCATTGTGCCGATAGTCGTGTCGGCCAATGGGTTAATCCCTAATAGCCTCGACAACCACCTTAGGAGGCTAGCGTTAGGCAGTTGGGTCAAGGGCCTGATACAGAAGGCAGTTCTCCTTGAAACGGCGCGCATTGTGAGGAGGTTTCTATCTCTGGAGCCCTAACCACCGGTAGCTTGGACCATGCTCCCACTACTGGTCGGCTCCTATTTTTATATTTTTAAATATTATTTTTTATACTGTAGTATTTAAAAATGTAATTTTAGAGAAATTTTAATTAAATATATGGAATAATAATAATATGTAATATGTT